GTGTGTGTGTGTGTGTGTGTGTGTGTGTGTGTGTGTGTGTGTGTGTGTGTACTTTTAACTTAAGTGCTGTTGGAACATTCTTACCAAGGGTGTCACCCATAGTGGTGATAGTCCGAGTATCCAGGTCCACATTGTGGGTGAGGTTTGACAACACCATGGCCAGATGAGGACACCAGTCACCCCACTTCTCCTCTCCACAGCACTGTGTGTACACAATAAGTGTAAGAACTGAAATAGCTATAAAATGTGTAGGTCTGCACATTAAAAAGACAACAGCTTTAACATAAACTTACCGTGGCTGATGCAGGCATCCTTCCTGACATCAACTGGTACATTGTCTGGAGAGGATCGTTCATAGGCAAACTATTGGCAAACCTAAATAAAATACATAAAAAACTGTTAGAATAAAGAGGAAAAATTGGCTTTAGTTAAAAAAAATATTATTCAAAGCTACTTCACCTCGTCATGACACGTGCATGTGTCCTGTTGTCCATCTTACTGGCCAACAACAGAGCATGACCCCAGAGACCTCCCTTCATGGCTGCTTCCAGCGCATCCTTTTTCCATAGTTCATTAAGTTAAAATATTTCACAACAAGAAAAATGACTGACATGCAGTTAACAAGGGCCTTTCTTACTTTTTTGCGGCCGAACAGCAGCAGCTCCCTGAAACGTTCGGTTTCCTTGCCAACATTTTCGGGGACAGTCATAAACGTGTCTGACAGAAGGGACAACGGTCCGGCTCCAGGCTCCTCTTCAGCGCGTGCTAGAGGTTCATTGTTAAAATCAATCAAGTTGGCTTCATTGGGACTCTTGCCTGGTAGCCAGACCGAGCGATGCTCTTTCAACAACAGGTCAGCGATGTCTGTTCCAACAACAGTCTACAAAAATAAAATAAAATAAAAAACCACAAAAGGAACGTTTTTAAAATTAAATAAACAATGGTATTTATTCCCCCTTATTTGCATCCACATCTGCCGAGACTTACCCCATTCTGTCTACAGAGCAGCACAATAAAGTCCCAGAGCAGGCGGGCAGAGTCTCTATCCAGCAAGTTGTTGTCACGAGAACACTCCAGCGCTTTGTTCTGAGCAAACTTTATTACATCCACCTTATGGGTCTCCTCCCTGAGGACATGGTACATATTAGCATTACAAGCACCAATCTAACCTTTGGATTACTTTAATACCAAGAAACTCAAATACACCAAGGAGTCCATTTTAATGTTGCCATTTTCAAAGGAAAACCAACAATGGTATGGTTATTTTAGTGAAAGAAAATTGGCGTATTATTTTGTAATGCACAAATACTTATATCACAACTATCCTAATGTGTTCCATTAGAGAATGTTAAGTAACAATTTCACATGATTATTTCATTGTGTTACTTTTGACAGTCAGTGAAAGGTATTTGTGATGATGTTAGTAGGATATACTCACTTAATAAGAGGTCCGGGAAAAACTCGTAGTTCAGCCTGATCTGAGGTGTCCTGCAGCATGGTCTGGAAATATAACCATTAAATATTGCAAAAAAAGTTCTCTACATTATATTTCTATATTCAAAAACTTAAAAATGTAGAAGGTTGCTACTTAAAAAGAGATGCCACCATTGCAATAATAATAATGATTTTTTCAATCACACTTCAGATTTACAAAAATCTCAAAGAGCTCAACCAATGTTTAAAGAATAAGGGGGAACCCCCCAAACATCAACATCCTCAAAAACTGAGAAAATCCACGTGTCTCTACTTTAACACCTTTCTACAGAAACATTCAGCAAGGTGTGATGCATTTAAATATACCTCCATATTGTGGATATCAACCAGAGCAGGCTGTCCAGCTGAGGGAAGATTAGGCAAGACCTGAATCAGATGACCACCAGGTCCAAAGCGGGCACAGCGGTGCGGTATGGTGAACTTCTCTGGGGTTGCAGGACGAGGGGGAGCTACAGGAAAGAAAACAGCCATACAGGAAGTATCAACCTGAACTTATACAAGAAAGGTTTGCATTCAGAAGTTTTAATTATTTAAAGAGAAAAGCTGCCCTGAAACTGACAACTGTGTACTTACGTTGCTCAGGAGCAACCCAGGTACTATTGGAAGTGTACTCTGAAGTATATGGGTACTGGCTGTAGTTCTGGGAGGCATCAACCTGATTTGGATATTGCCCATAAGAGTAGTCCACAGCCAGAGTGGATGATGTGGTGTCATAACCTGCAGATACCAGGTCAGGTTGGCTCCTGTACACCTGGCTCTGAAAGTGGAAAAAAACAAAAAAACAAAACAAGCAAGACAAATGTGTTAAGTTGGAAGTTTTGTTGTGAACTCAAACAATAAAAACTATAAAAACAATACTTTCTGCTAGCTTTGTAAATGCATGCATGCAACAGAGAAGTTGGGAGTAAAATGTATGCAAGATGTTTTTGAAATTAGATTCACACTCCATCTAATAAATGACTACATGAAAACAATTTACCTGTTGTGATCGTGAGCTGAAGCTGCTCCGTCTGCTGTGGTGACTGTGGGAGCTGTGCACACTGTGTGTGGACCGCTCGCTGTGTACGCTGCGGCGGTCAAAGTCATCACCATACGGGTCTCTGGAACGTGAGTTGTCATCATCAAAACTGGCATCATACCCAGGATAGTACTGCCACGGGTCATCATATCCCTCTTTCCTGGGAGTAAGCAGACAGCATTGGTGAATGAAGCAGCAGTAACTAGGACTTTACATAAACTTATCAACTGTACATTTATGGATTTAATTTTAATACTAAAAATTGACCAAGATTTTTCTATGCATACCTGGTGGGATACATTTGTTGATTATAATAATTGTTTCCGTATGCTTTGTTGTAATACGACCAGTAGGCTTGATCATAGTATCCTCTGTATCGTGGGTCGTAATGTCCATAATTGTATCCTTTACAGAGAAAATAATAAATGATTCACAATTAGTATAACATTAACAAACATAAGACTAATTTTTCGCAATATTTGCATGGTACATTTTTCTGCTCATACCTCCATAATCATAGTGTTTGGAATATTCTGCATAATAATCACTGTAGGCACTTTGGTTTGCTTGTTGGTAATCATAGCCTTGCCTTTGGGGAAAATACACAAAGTGACATTTAACAGGTTAAACATCAAAACATAAAGTCACACAGTCACAGAGTTATTTTATTTTTCTCTCAGTAATTAATTAGAGCCCAGCAATAGTGTGGGTAAAATTCACTTCAACAACAGAAATAAAAAAAGCATGCTTAAATCACCACAGCATGAATGTAAACGTAAACATATCTTTTGCTCATCATAATCTGATGGTTGAAAATCAGTTTTCACTTTTGAGGTATTTTGAATGCAGCACATTTAGGTGAAAGACCAAAGTTTGCACTACTGATTTTGTGACATTTACATGTAAAATAATTACCAAAAACATAAATATGTTACAATTTCTTCCAGATAAACCAATCAGTGCTGCAAATGCCAATGATGGATGAGTCTCAACGATAAGGACAAATTATTTTGCTTTTACAATGCATCATTGTCAGCTGTTTGTCCAGAAATGACTCCATTTGTCATAAGGTGGTTACAAGTCAGCAAGGGGGTCAGTAAAGTCTCAGAAATACACTTAAATTTGCTTGTTGTTATGTTCATAGCCGAGTGTGTCAGGAATGCCAGTTGCACAAACTTAAATGTTACATATTTATACATAAAAAATGATTCCCAATAACTAAAAATTGATAAATCAACTATAAAACATCTCAAATTTAGACTGAAAATTTCACTAACCTTGACGAGGGTCTGTCAGAATACTGACTAGCCCTTGAGCTGGGCCGATCCGATTGTGGTTCTCTGTATTGATAGTTTGGATCACGGTATCCTGGGTTTTGCCCTTCGTATCTGCCGTACCAGGGATCTGCTCTGCCCTGGTATGAACCGTCCTGGGAAGAGAAAAAAAAACATATATATTATGAGAAGCCACGAGAATATGACAATAGTTCCTCATAAATAGTTCTCTAAGCACAACTGTGGATTACATTACATCACAAAAAAATGCCAGACAGGTATTCACCCAAAACAATAAAATACACCTACTTGATAATATGGTTGTGCTCTGGGATCTCCAGGTGGAGGTGGGCATTGGCCTGGAGGATACGGTGCTCTGTTATTTGGATATTCTCCGTAACTGCTATAATAACCACTATACATCTGTCCTGCCCCGGGAGGAGGAACAGGAGGAGGTCCATAGCCACCTTGATGGCTGCCTGCTGATGAAGGTGGTCGAGGTGGCTCTGCCGGAGCTGGATGTGAAGCCCCTGGAGGCACAGGCCCTCGTGGCCCTGGAGGATAAGCGGTCGTAGGAGCACTCCCTGCTGTAGGCCCTTGCGCTGAAACTGAACTCGGACCAGGAAGAGGTTGTGCTCCACTTACAGGAACAGGAGGAGCATCTTTTGGTCCCTGCCGTGCAGCCTGAGGGTCTGATGTCTGAGAAGGTTCATTTTGAGTTTGCTGCACGTTGGCACCTGCTTGGGGGAGTACTAACGGTACCTGTGGGGTAGATAACGAAGCTGTGGTTTGGACAGGGATATTTCCTCCCTCTCTTACCCCCTGCTGAGAATCTTTGGTGACCTGCAGGTAAAATCCATTACTAGACTGAGGCATCTCGTGTAGAGAAGGAGGTTGGTCAGACGCTTGAATTCGGGCATGAGATTGGTGCATAGAAAAATCAAGCAGTTCATAATTTGATTCCCGATTAGAGACAGACGCAGTCACAAGAGAAGAAGGCTGTGAATTAACGTGCAGAGTAGAGTGGTTGTCTCCACTTAATGATTGGCCTCTTGAAAGAGAGGGATGGACTGGTTGAGACTGTGGTGGAGTTTCAATTTCTGATAGTACCGCAACCATTTTGTCTCGAGTCAAATTAAGTGGACCCGAGTTATAAGCTGAAGAACATAAAGGTACGGGTCCCGAAGAAAGGAGCGGATTTTGTTTAGAATAAATAGCAGGTGGTTGGGAACTACTGGCACCCAGTCCCTGTGCAAGAGGTCTCTCAGGTGGGATAGTTTCCCCATGACTACTCTGGGTGGATGATTGAGCTGGGGAACTGGGGGGAATCACATTGTAATTGGAGACTGGTGGGGCAATTAGAAAAGGCTGCTGAAGTGAGCCAGACACGAGCAGAGAAGCATAGCCCAGATTGCCTTGAGAGTCATTTGTCTCTGAATCACTCACCTTTGGTGGGTTCTCTAAGTTCTCTGAGTGTTGGTGACTAGTTGGCTGGATTCTCTGTGAAGGCTGCAGGTCTAGTGGGCCATCTTCTGGTGGTTGGATGACATCAACGCTTGGTTCTCGCAAAGGAGCAAGAACTGTTGGGGCTGCAGGAGCAAGGAGGATATTAGCACCCAAACTTGTAGGATCATTTTGAGCCCACAAAGTAGTGGCAGGACTCTCGCACGGACGACTGGCCCCAAAAGCACGTGATGAAGGCCGAGAATGAACCACTGGGTGTGTCACATGAGGTATTACACCTCCTGCAGCAGGCTGGGGGTGTCCTGGGCCATAAATATTTTCCATATTATCAGGTGGCTGCTCCAAGTTGCCTGATGTGTCGGTGCCCCCTTCAGCCACCATTTTAGCTCTATCCACCTCAGGTGGACGCACCCCAACTCCATGAGAGCGCACAGGTTCGAAGGAGCTATTAGCACTTGCTTGAAAAATGCCAGTTGGTTTTGGAGGGCTAGGCGTGGAAGGCCACATCTGCTCCAGGGAACTCTGCTGTGTGCCTGCTTCTAAAGCTGGAGAGGTATCAATCTGCTCAAAGTAGCCTCCGGTGGCAGCAGATGGGTTGGCGCCATCGGCAAGACGTGGGCTTTCCTGTTGAATAAAGGTGCCTTCAACTCCCTTGTGTCGACGGGTGCCAGTCCCACTTCCATGGCTCAGATTGCTATAATTAGATGATACACTGGCTGATCTCATTGGTCGTGGAACTGAATCTGGAGTTTCCAGATTTGGCCCAGTTTCAAACTGGTCCACTCCATGGGGCGCAGAAACAGCAGTACTGCTATGGATTTCACTAGGTAATACTTCCTGATTTGGGACACATTCCAGATTCTCCACATGATCAAACTGAGTATCAGGTGACTTCTGGGTATTTCCCTGTGAAAGGTGACTGCTTTCATTCATATAGGGAACGTGTGAATCATCTTGAACAGAGACTCCTTGGTAATGCAAAGAAGCATCTGCATGACTACTGTGGTCTTGTGGACTGTTATGCGGCTGAGAAAAACCATCAACACCATTTAATGCCTTGATTCTCTCACTAGAGAGTGTTTCCTTGTTTTCCACATCACTGTCTTTAAAAAACATTGTGAGGGCACCAGGCTCATGAGAGCATGGGTCTGGGGCAGAATTAGCAGCAGGCCCAGGTCTGGTAGTAGGTCCATGCTCAGTGTTGGACACAGGCTGATATCCTGCAGAGTCTGCAGCAGGTTGAGGATGGCTCTGGCCAATTCCCATTTGGTGATAACCTGAGTCCTGTGGAGGTTGGTTGCACCAAAACTCCTGGGCCTCAGAGCTTTGATTTAAGTAACTCTGGAAACGTGAATTTTGTTGCTGGGGTCCATTTGGATCAGGCCACGGGGAATTATTAGGTGCTACAGGGTTCGGAGGGGGAAGGCAGGGTTGACTGTGAGGATGTCCAGGTTGAATTGGAAGTGCAGGGGCATTGAGATGGGGTGACTGGCTGTGGGAAGAAGTCTGTGAAGTGAAACTTAAAGGTTGTGGTAGAGGATCACTAGTTGGCTGGAAATAGTTTTGAACTGATGGAGGACGACTTCCATGATCAGGGACCCACTGAGCAGATGAGGAATTGGGGGCAAGTGGCTGAAAAGGTGCAGGATGAAAAGCAGGCTGCCCTTGGAATTCTTGGTTGAAATGTGTCTCACTAGATGTTGGTGCTATATGTGGTGATTCTGTGGAAGTGGTTGGTGCCTGATACCTTGAGTTAAAATAATCTTGTTCACTATTAGAAGATGCATATCCTGTAAAACTTGGTGCTGGGAGAACACCAGGGGACGCCGAACTATGAGGGTTAAATAAGGTCACCGCTGGAACAGACGATGGTGGAGGACCAGTCGGTGCAGCTGGAACATCTTCTAGCGTTGGTGGTTGTGGAGGCAGGCCAGGACCAAGCTGAGAGTAAATGGTGCTGGGTGGGGTTTGCATTTGGGGAGAGTTACTGTTCGGTATTGTCGGAAGACCACCTGCAGCCACATGGGGCTGAGCTCTACCAAAAGCAAAAGGATCCGTCATGGGCTGGGTAGGAAGAGGCATTGTGGCAGCTGCTGTTGTTGCATGCTTTGGAGGCCTGGTCCTTCGGAACATATTGGGTCCAGAGGGAGGTGGCCCAGAGGATCCTGGAGCTCCGGCCCAAGGAGGGGGCTGCATGTCTGCAGAGTTGGCAGGTCCAAGGACCAGGTCACTGTAAAGGACGTCACTGAAGAGGCTGCAGTCAGACGTAGCTGGATAAAGGAAAGGCAAAAGGGAGTGGTTCAGAAAAGCTACATATATTCTTTGAATGAACCTTACCACACCTTTATTTGTGTAAAAAAGCACAACGTGGCAAGTTTTACATCAGCTCCAAGATGTACCGCTACATTTAGTACATATCAAAAGTCTGAACATATCTACTTATTCAAAACAAATTATTAGATGTGACCAAACTTTTGACTGCTACTGTGCAAATTACTACACCTCAATGGACAAAATAAACACTACTTGAAACAAAAAAAGCTTGACAGTTCAAAAACATCTTAACATTTTTCAGACATTTCTGCAATAAAACAAATCACTATCTAAAAAATCCCTTCTTGAAAAGATATTAGTTTTATTTCAAAAACTACTACTACTATTTTTAACTCAGTTAACCCACGTTTTGTTTCTTTTAAGCCCAAAACCTATTCTGCTCAAAGAAAATCTTTAAAACTAAATTTAGATACATTTTAAAAGACTTGGAAACAGCAAACAATGTGACAGTGAATTAGTTTGACTTACATTGACAGTGGCAAATAAATCTTCTGATAAGGAAGGTTTCTACAGCGTTGATGCAATTCAAATCTTTCTGTAGTTAATTCTAAATAAGATTTAAACACTTATTGCGTGCCCATTACTGCATGTTTGAGCGTGTCAGTGCTGAATCAAGGGGCTGCTTATCTTGGTCAGAACATTTTGGCAAATATATATTTTGTTTAGTTTTTTTAATGAACTTTGGCAGACGCAAAAAAAAAAAAACCTGCTTTTAGTCCGTTTCTAGATGTTATCTAGAATATGGTCATGTCTACACACAGCACAAAACAGAAAAGTGTCACTACTGTTATGCAATTACAAGACATTACAATAGCAACTTTAAAAACTGGAAGTGGGACTTCCAATGTTTTCTAAGTGTAACGTTGCTATTCATTACTTGTGATATGCATGTTGAGGGTAGCGACGAGAGTCTGACAGCTGGATCAATACGTGATCCGAGATCTTTCAAGTAAACAGGTTATAAATTTATCAGGAGCGGTTTCAACTTGGCAAGCTAACGATAGCTGTGTTTGTATCACCATTACAACTCGCAAAAATGTCACGAAAAAGTTGGGACGCAAACTGGCGACTTTTCACTAATCTGAAACTTTATGTTATGCAACCTAGATCCATGTCGGTCTGGTTCGACATGAAGTTACTGTTACACATTAAGCTGCCTAAAGAGACCAAGAGTCCAGAGTGCTTTGCTCGACAGCTAACGCGAATGCTACATTGTGTGACATGTCTTCAACAGCCAAATGCTGACATCTTAAGTTACAAGATCTTACACGGTCCGGAGTAAACTGAGATAATGAAAGTGTTCTCGCTTTCGTACCAACTTCGCAGCAACACGAACACACCGAAAGTTTACAACTCGCTCGCCACTCGACAAACCTAATTGAACAGGTTCACTGCCTGGTCAGCTAGCCTTCGCATTACTGCTAAGTTAGCACTGCTGCTAACTAGCCTCGGCTAAATCCACAGTAACAGCTTAATCTCACTTAAGAACGCTATATTTTTAATATACAGAGTGATATGTTGGCATTTATGTTGTATATATATGCTTACCCGATGTTGGAAATATGTACAGATAAATAAATTATTACAATTGTCCAAGGCAGTGAGTCTGACACACCGCCACCATCTTCAATAAACACATCCTACTAGGCTACGTGTACAAGCCCCGTCACGGGCCAAACATGGTGACGTCAAAAAAGGGGCGTGGCTTATTAAAAGCAATTAAAAGTCAATTAAATCAATTATTGTACATTTAAAAACTGATAAGCAATTTCGTTAGGATTACAGCAAATAACAAAGAGCTGTTTCTAAAAGTATTTGTTAAATTTGTTTAAAAAAAGGAGGCCTGAAGAATGAATCAATCTATTTGCAGCAGCTGATTAGTACTATATAAGCACAGCAGCAGAATTTGTTCATTTCACTTCAGCCCATTGCACTGCACTATAGAATAATTCTTTAAGCTAAAATGGTGCAGGATGCTGTTCACAGCCGTAGAAAACAACCACAATTGTTTTGTTTTAGCTGGCAGTATATGCATCGAATATGTGTTACCTAAATAAATCCCACCTTAATATTCTAAGGCAAAATTATCAAAATAGATAAGTATATAAATGCAAGTAAAACAGCATACAAGTAATTTTAAAAATCCATTATGTGAAATAACAGACATTTATGGCGTCTGTGAGCTCAAGTGTGTGGGCAGTGCAGCAATCAGAACACATTTGTCCACTAGGGGGCACTGTGTCATCACGAAAAGTCAATTGATAGTCTCAAATGATGTTACAGTGAAAAAAATAGGTTAGAATAAAAAAAAAGGATATTTAACATACAGTTTCAACCCTTGAAAATCGTTTAAAAAATAATCAATTTTGTACTGTATTATACTGATACTGTAAAATATGAAGTCCAGTGGGTTCATATTCAGTTATAACTGTTAAAATACAAATGGATAACAATGGCAAACTGTATTTTCAGTAACTGCTGGGATGAAGCAAAAGTTTGTTTTAGGTGAATGGCTATGTGAAATGTTTGTGAACATACTTCACAAACAAATGGAATGCATACCTCAGGGCTATGAATAGAAGAAAAAATACAAATGTTAATAATTGTTATATTACTATTGTATAGTTGTTTTAAACATAAAGCTTGTGTCTAAATATGCAATTTACTTTATTATAGAAATACTAAAAACTCCATAATTTGGTTCAGGTATATTTATTTGAAATCCAGTATTGATTTGTCTTGAGATTATAATCTCA